TAGGGTGCTTAGCTTGGAGGTTTGGATTTTGAGTTAAGATTTGAATACTAGAAATTTTAAATTTGAATAGTTGTATGATGCGATATAAATAGGTGTTGATTTGATGTTTTGAATGTAAAATTAATTTCTAATATAATATAAAAAATAAAAAATAGGTATTTAATTTGATATTTTTGAAAAAAATAAAAATAGGATGAACAGTAAATTTAAAATCCATTACCCCAAACAAACACATAATTACTATGCCAGAACCCATTTTTAGTTTAGGCCCATACAATAAACAACTCATTTAAAGTCCTTATTATGGGTGTGTTTGTTTGGGAAATTGGATTTAACTATTCATCCAATTTTTTTTTCAAAAAACATCAAATCAAACATTTATTTTTTTATTTTTTATATTATACTAAAAATCAATTTTATATTTAAAACATTACATCAATATCTATTTATATCACATTATACAACTATTTAAATTCAAAATTTTAACTATTCAAATCCCAATTCAAAATTCAACCCCAAACAAACACACCCATAGTTACTCTGGCAGAACCACAAACAACACTACCAATCACTTTTCCACACTTCCGATTTGCGACTTTAACAGAAATGGCGACAAAATCGCTATTGTTCCAAACCACGATTTCAGATCTGAAGCATCTCCAATGGCGTAGCAATGCCAATGCGCTCTGCCGCCTGACATTCGCGCGACCTCCTCTTCTTCCTCATCATACTTCTCTTCTTCCTCGTTCTCCTCCTCCGCTGTACCGTCGTCTTCATCTTCCTCATTCTCCTCCTCCTCTGCTCCGACACCGTCTACGCACTCTATTCTCTACTATGTCCTCGATGAACTCGCCGCAGGAGGAGGCCTCTGTCAAAACAGTAAGCGATTTCTCAATTTCATTAATAGATTTCTGTTTCGTTCTAATTTGGTGTTTGAATCAGGTGAGAATGGTGATAAGGGGGAGAGTGCAAGGTGCGTCGGATCTATCGGAATTGGACGATTGATAATGCGAAGGAGTTAGGGTTGAAAGGTTGGGTTCGGAACCGCCGGGATGGATCTGTGGAGGCGTTGTTTTCGGGAGATGGAGCAGCGGTGTAGGAGAGGTCTTCCTGATGCTATGGTGACTGGAATTCAGGCATTTCATTTCCGAGCACTGATGATCCTGGGAATGAATTCGACTGTGTGAATGAACGAATCAGCGATTCTGATCAGGTATGAATTCGAAGCTCTCCTTGTTCCAGTTAATAATACAACTTTATGCTGATCATCTTGTGAGTATGGTAGCATTTTGGGCGTAGATGCTTTGATTATCTTCCTCCATGATTCAGTCGGTTGATTTTGGTTTATTTGCCTGGTTGAAATTTGACTGGCTTAATTTTTGTTTTGCTCTGCTCCTTAACTCTGTCCAAATTAGGTTTTAGCTCCGAATATTCACTTTATCTATAAATTTGGGTAACACGATTTGAAGTTGGTAGATTAATTCTTTCTTATTGATTAAATTGCATCCATTGAATGAATTCTGCTAAGTTGTTGTTCTTAGCTCTAACCATAGTTGGTTGCAGAGCCTGTAGGTTATTGCCTTAGAAGGTGCAAATTCTTACAGCTGTTGTTTATTTAGTGTTCTTATCTTTTCGAATGGTTTAAGCTTCCAAACTAGGTTTGGGATGAGATATGCAGTACATTTTCAAGTATATGAAGTTTTCATTTGATTCGATTCTTGTAAATTTGGTTTTAAGTTTTCACTTCAACGGGGATTTGAAAGTATCAGAAATCATTGCCAAGGAACTCATCTTGTGTGTGTTTAAATGAAATCAGAAATCATCTTGTGCCTAATGTTAGTATTATTTATTGACACTAACTACTACAAGTAAAGGAACACAACTCCCAAAAGTAGCTGTCGGCGCAGGAAGGATGTTGCCAAGGCCTGCAGTGCCAGCCATCGAAGACTTCTCTAACGAATTCTTCTACTTCACCAGTAGTGTTGTTCAGGGTTTAGGGAAACCAACAGGATTACGAATGCCTTCTCCCAAAATCGGGTTCTTTGATGGGGTTAGTAATGCATATAAGAGTCCCATTGCAAGTGATCTCAATTACATTTACTGAATTTCGGATATCATACTCTCTGAGTTGTATTACTGAAGTATTCTCTCTTTTTTTTTTTGTCAGGTGAAATTATCCCCTCGCACTCCCAATGGTTTGCGCACTGTGTCACCCAAAAATGGAGCTGCTGCAAGCAGCAGTCCAGGTCGAATCTCTAACCATCCAAGTCTACCTTTCCTTCGTTCTTTTTTCTTCTTGCCCAATCCAAGTCTGTTGGTGATTAGCAATTAAGGAAACCATTAGTCATAAGATCTTTTAAAATCTTATTATTATGACCGTTATGGTCTCTATTTATTTTTACTAGTAATTTTTTTTAAAAAAAATCTCTATAATTAAAAAATATTTATATTATATATATATTACTATAATACTAATGAAATCATTACGATAAAAAAAACTTCTAAAATATGACCGTTTTGTTTCTATTTATTTTTAGAAATGATTTTTTAAAATTTTTAAAATTTAAAAATATTAATATTTTTATATTTATAATACTAATGAAATCACAAGTGATCGGACGTACCTCTCGAGCATGTAAAATCCTGCAAAATTTAATATTATTTTTCTATTATTGTTACACAAATGCTACTACTTTTTATACTTATATTTTTTACCAACTATCAATATAATATTAATATTCTTTAAATTTTGTGCGCAACCCAAATATGACCATAGTTTTTTAGTAGAGGAGGTTAGTATTTATTATATATTGTTTTTAATGTGAAATATTCTGATTTTTTTTATTTTTTTTTATTTTTTATAGCTTCTTTTTTTTTTTTTCTCTTTTATAATTAAAAAACAATTATAAAACTATTGCAAATAAAAGTAAAGAGAGGAGGACTATAAATTTTCTTTTATCTAAATTATATAATTTGAATGCAATATTTATCTTCTCAATTAATAAATTTTATTTCCTCTTATAAATAAAACTATTGCAAATAAACCCAGGGGTATTGCAGGTATGCGTAGTCGAATGTGTGTTTGAAGTATTGCAACGTGTTATTTAAATGGTTGTGTACTTTTTGTTACCTTTTGAGTTTTATAATAAAAAATGTACAAAAAGAGTAATATGGTTTCTAGTATTCGTGTCTATGTATGAACATTAATTTTTTGTCCACTAATTGCTGAACATATTTTCATAAGGCAAATGGGTCAAATTTTATTAAAATGTTTAAAATAGTTGTCATGTTGTGCTTAATAATTTTCTCACGGGCATTTTTTTTTCTTCCCTTGAGTTATGTTGGCACGTTAAAGATGGTATGGACAATTTGTTTGCGAGCTGATACTAAGTAGTCTTAATTTAGAGAATTGGTAAACTGTATTTCGTAATAATAATGCTTTGAACAATTTCATAATAATAGATATTTGAAAAACCAGTGTAGGCATGATTTGTCTTTTTTTTTTTTTTTTTTTTTACTTAATTTCTTACTTTCAAGAGGTATATGTAAAAACATTGGAAAATGACTTCTCTGGTGCACCATTGCAGTTCGATAAAAAGGTATTGCTGGAATAAGCTTCAGCATATCGGCGGATTTAAAGAAAAAAGCTTTCAGCATATCGGTGGATTCATATTTCAAGGTATCTTGCTTTTATTATTTGAGAAAGTTGATATCATATTTGAAAAAAAAAAAGTGGCAATTTAAAGTTGGTATTACTCCCCCCATCACGCAAAAAATACACTTATTTTTTGCGAGGGAGGGAGTAATATTTTTTGGGCTGGCTTGGGCTGTTTTAAAATTCAAGCCCGATAGGTTCGGCCTGATTTTGCATTGGGCTTGAAAACCCAAACGAAGGCATGGCCCGGTTTCAAATTATACCGGGCCAGCTTAGCCCAACCCAGATTTTTAATATTAGATTTTAAAAATAATATATCATTTTTTATTAAATAATAAATTATATTAATCTAAATTGATATAATTAGGACAAAGTATTTTATTGATAATTAAGAATTTAAACATTAATTAATTATTAATTTTATTATATAGATAATTTATATTAAAAATTATTTTTTCTTAAAATATTTTAATCAACTAGACACTGCTAGGCACGTCATAATTTGCATAGGCCTCAAACCAAGTTTGGTTATTCAACCATACTGGGTTGGCCTGACCTAAAAATAGTTTGGAACTAATTTTTAGACCCAAATCTTTATTTGTTCGTGTCGAATATGGATTTGATAGTAGTAGACTCCACATAAACTTTACTTACAAACTAAATAAACTTTAAAACAAATAAGGATAAAATTTAGAAACAAAATTAATACATCCAAGTCCCGGGACCTAAACATAATTCTATTATTATATGTAAGATGCTAATGTAAATGCAATGCGAAAATATAAAAGAAAAACGACTAACTACTCTATATTTTCGGTCATCCGATCATCCGGCCACTCCCTCTCGTATGCATCTAAAAAGATTTAAAATAGACATTAGTATATATGTATAGGAAACAAAAAAATAATATTAAAATCACTTACCTTGGATTTGAAATTGAGATCAAAGGATCTTTGCGGATCCCCTCGTCTCCACATAAGCTTTACCTACAAATTAAAAACACTTGAAAATAAGTTAGTATAAAATATAGAAACAAAAAAATTAATGCATGCATGTCCCGGGACCGACGTAAAAATAAATCTATTTCTATATACATAATGCTAAATTAAATAAAATGCATAAATGTAAAAGGAAAGGGACGAATTACTCCCTACGGTCGTCCGATCATCCGGCCACTCCCTCGTCTCCACATAAGCTTTACCTACAAATTAAAAACACTTGAAAATAAGTTAGTATAAAATATAGAAACAAAAAAATTAGTGCATGCATGTCCCGGGACCGACGTAAAAATAAATCTATTTCTATATGCAAAATGCTAAATTAAATTAAATGCATAAATGTAAAAGGAAAGGGACGAATTACTCCCTACGGTCGTCCGATCATCCGGCCACTCCCTCGTCTCCCCATAAGCTTTACCTACAAATTAAAAACACTTAAAAATAAGTTAGTATAAAATATAGAAACAAAATTAATGCATGCATGTCCCGGGACGGACATAAAAATAAATTTATTTCTATATGCAAAATGCTAAATTAAGTTAAATGCATAAATGTAAAAGGAAAGGGACGAATTACTCCCTACGGTCGTCCGATCATCCGGCCACTCCCTCGTCTCCACATAAGCTTTACCTACAAATTAAAAACACTTGAAAATAAGTTAGTATAAAATATAGAAACAAAAAAATTAGTGCATGCATGTCCCGGGACGGACGTAAAAATAAATCTATTTCTATATGCAAAATGCTAAATTAAATTAAATGCATAAATGTAAAAGGAAAGGGACGAATTACTCCCTACGGTCGTCCGATCATCCGGCCACTCCCTCGTCTCCCCATAAGCTTTACCTACAAATTAAAAACACTTAAAAATAAGTTAGTATAAAATATAGAAACAAAATTAATGCATGCATGTCCCGGGACGGACGTAAAAATAAATCTATTTCTATATGCAAAATGCTAAATTAAATTACATGCATAAATGTAAAAGGAAAGGGACGAATTACTCCCTACGGTCGTCCGATCATCCGGCCACTCCCTCGTCTCCCCATAAGCTTTACCTACAAATTAAAAACACTTAAAAATAAGTTAGTATAAAATATAGAAACAAAATTAATGCATGCATGTCCCGGGACGGACGTAAAAATAAATCTATTTCTATATGCAAAATGCCTAATTAAATTAAATGCATAAATGTAAAAGGAAAGGGACGAATTACTCCCTACGGTCGTCCGATCATCCGGCCACTCCCTCGTCTCCACATAAGCTTTACCTACAAATTAAAAACACTTGAAAATAAGTTAGTATAAAATATAGAAACAAAAAAATTAGTGCATGCATGTCCCGGGATCGACGTAAAAATAAATCTATTTCTAAATGCATAATGCTAAATTAAATTAAATGCATAAATGTAAAAGGAAAGGGACGAATTACTCCCTACGGTCGTCCGATCATCCGGCCACTCCCTCGTCTCCACATAAGCTTTACCTACAAATTAAAAACACTTGAAAATAAGTTAGTATAAAATATAGAAACAAAAAAATTAGTGCATGCATGTCCCGGGACCGACGTAAAAATAAATCTATTTCTATATGCATAATGCTAAATTAAATTAAATGCATAAATGTAAAAGGAAAGGGACGAATTACTCCCTACGGTCGTCCGATCATCCGGCCACTCCCTCGTCTCCACATAAGCTTTACCTACAAATTAAAAACACTTGAAAATAAGTTAGTATAAAATATAAAAACAAAAAAAAATTAGTGCATGCATGTCCCGGGACCGACGTAAAAATAAATCTATTTCTATATGCAAAATGCTAAATTAAATTAAATGCATAAATGTAAAAGGAAAGGTACGAATTACTCCCTACGGTCGTCCGATCATCCGGCCACTCCCTCGTCTCCACATAAGCTTTACCTACAAATTAAAAACACTTGAAAATAAGTTAGTATAAAATATAGAAACAAAAAAATTAGTGCATGCATGTCCCGGGACCGACGTAAAAATAAATTTATTTCTATATGCATAATGCTAAATTAAATTAAATGCATAAATGTAAAAGGAAAGGGACGAATTACTCCCTACGGTCGTCCGATCATCCGGCCACTCCCTCGTCTCCACATAAGCTTTACCTACAAATTAAAAACACTTGAAAATAAGTTAGTATAAAATATAGAAACAAAAAAATTAGTGCATGCATGTCCCGGGACCGACGTAAAAATAAATCTATTTCTATATGCATAATGCTGAATTAAATTAAATGCATAAATGTAAAAGGAAAGGGACGAATTACTCCCTACGGTCGTCCGATCATCCGGCCACTCCCTCGTCTCCACATAAGCTTTACCTACAAATTAAAAACACTTGAAAATAAGTTAGTATAAAATATAAAAACAAAAAAATTAGTGCATGCATGTCCCGGGACCGACGTAAAAATAAATCTATTTCTATATGCAAAATGCTAAATTAAATTAAATGCATAAATGTAAAAGGAAAGGGACGAATTACTCCCTACGGTCGTCCGATCATCCGGCCACTCCCTCGTCTCCACATAAGCTTTACCTACAAATTAAAAACACTTCAAAATAAGTTAGTATAAAATATAGAAACAAAAAAATTAGTGCATGCATGTCCCGGGACGGACGTAAAAATAAATCTATTTCTATATGCAAAATGCTAAATTAAATTAAATGCATAAATGTAAAAGGAAAGGGACGAATTACTCCCTCGGTCGTCCGATCATCCGGCCACTCCCTCGTCTCCCCATAAGCTTTACCTACAAATTAAAAACACTTAAAAATAAGTTAGGATAAAATATAGAAACAAAATTAATGCATGCATGTCCCGGGACGGACGTAAAAATAAATCTAATGCTATATGCAAAATGCTAAATTAAATTAAATGCATAAATGTAAAAGGAAAGGGACGAATTACTCCCTACGGTCGTCCGATCATCCGGCCACTCCCTCGTCTCCCCATAAGCTTTACCTACAAATTAAAAACACTTGAAAATAAGTTAGTATAAAATATAGAAACAAAAAAATTAGTGCATGCATGTCCCGGGACCGACGTAAAAATAAATCTATTTCTATATGCAAAATGCTAAATTAAATTAAATGCATAAATGTAAAAGGAAAGGGACGAATTACTCCCTACGGTCGTCCGATCATCCGGCCACTCCCTCGTCTCCACATAAGCTTTACCTACAAATTAAAAACACTTGAAAATAAGTTAGTATAAAATATAGAAACAAAAAAATTAGTGCATGCATGTCCCGGGACCGACGTAAAAATAAATCTATTTCTATATGCATAATGCTAAATTAAATTAAATGCATAAATGTAAAAGGAAAGGGACGAATTACTCCCTACGGTCGTCCGATCATCCGGCCACTCCCTCGTCTCCACATAAGCTTTACCTACAAATTAAAAACACTTGAAAATAAGTTAGTATAAAATATAAAAACAAAAAAATTAGTGCATGCATGTCCCGGGACGGACGTAAAAATAAATCTATTTCTATATGCAAAATGCTAAATTAAATTAAATGCATAAATGTAAAAGGAAAGGGACGAATTACTCCCTACGGTCGTCCGATCATCCGGCCACTCCCTCGTCTCCACATAAGCTTTACCTACAAATTAAAAACACTTGAAAATAAGTTAGTATAAAATATAGAAACAAAAAAATTAGTGCATGCATGTCCCGGGACCGACGTAAAAATAAATCTATTTCTATATGCATAATGCTAAATTGAATTGAATGCATAAATGTAAAAGGAAAGGGACGAATTACTCCCTACGGTCGTCCGATCATCCGGCCACTCCCTCGTCTCCACATAAGCTTTACCTACAAATTAAAAACACTTGAAAATAAGTTAGTATAAAATATAAAAACAAAAAAATTAGTGCATGCATGTCCCGGGACTGACGTAAAAATAAATCTATTTCTATATGCAAAATGCTAAATTAAATTAAATGCATAAATGTAAAAGGAAAGGGACGAATTACTCCCTACGGTCGTCCGATCATCCGGCCACTCCCTCGTCTCCCTATAAGCTTTACCTACAAATTAAAAACACTTAAAAATAAGTTAGGATAAAATATAGAAACAAAATTAATGCATGCATGTCCCGGGACGGACGTAAAAATAAATCTATTTCTATATGCAAAATGCTAAATTAAATTAAATGCATAAATGTAAAAGGAAAGGGACGAATTACTCCCTACGGTCGTCCGATCATCCGGCCACTCCCTCGTCTCCCCATAAGCTTTACCTACAAATTAAAAACACTTAAAAATAAGTTAGTATAAAATATAGAAACAAAATTAATGCATGCATGTCCCGGGACGGACGTAAAAATAATTCTATTTCTATATGCAAAATGCTAAATTAAATTAAATGCATAAATGTAAAAGGAAATGGACGAATTACTCCCTACGGTCGTCCGATCATCCGGCCACTCCCTCGTCTCCTACAAAATAAGCACACAACATCATCGATCCAGAATAACTAACAAATCACATGTTTAAGTGAAGAGTCAAATCCAAAAGCATTCATTATTAGGTATATCATAACCAAGAAAAGTTCAAAGATTGGATTCTAAAATTTTCCAAGAAAAGTGCCAAAGTTCCAAGATTGGATTCTAAAATTTTCCAAGAATAGTTCCAAAGTTCCAAGATTGGATTCTAAAATTTTCCAAGAAAAGTGCCAAAGTTCCAAGATTGGATTCTAAAATTTTCCAAGAAAAGTGCCAAAGTTCCAAGATTGGATTCTAAAATTTTCCAAGAAAAGTGCCAAAGTTCCAAGATTGGATTCTAAAATTTTCCAAGAAAAGTGCCAAAGTTCCAAGATTGGATTCTAAAATTTTCCAAGAAAAGTGCCATACTATAATTTCTTGAATGATTAACACAAGACAAAAAGAAACATATAGAAATAACCATGCCATCCCTTCTTGCCACTGATCCCTCCCCGGACAGCATAAGCCTCTTCGAAACCATTTTTCACCAAAATTACATTACCACTAGAGCAGTACTTACTTGTCGAAAAGTGTCAGCTGGATCCCCGAAATTCTCCAGAACCTTCTTCACAAAACCTTCGGAATTCCACCTGCCCCTGCCCTTGCTTTGCTGCTATTGCATCGATCGATCGAAATCGAAGCGCTGCACTTGACCTCTCCCTTAAATGGATCGCCCTCCTAAGCACTGCACTTGACCTCTTCCTTAAATGGATCGCCCTCCCTCATGTAAGCACACCTCTTCGTAATTCCTAATGAAACCCCCCCCTGCCCCTGCCCCTGCTCGTACCCCCCACCCCCTTCATTTGCATTTGCATTGCTTATAATAATGTATACAATATCAAAATCAAGAGTATTTATAATATATGTTTTAACGGCTACTTTCCTAATATAAAACACTTACCATATATAATTTTATATTTTAATATTATGTTTATATTAAAATTAAAATCAAATTCAAATTCAAATTCAAAATCATTATATCTAACGGCTACTTTCCTAATATAAAAAGTTACCATATATAATTTCACATTTTAATATTATGTGTATATTAAAATTAAAATCAAATTCAAATTCAAAATCATTATACTTAACGGCTACTTACCTAATATAAAACACTTACCATATATAATTTCACATTTTAATATTATGTGTATATTAAAATTAAAATCAAATTCAAAATCAAAATTATTATACTTAACGGCTACTTACCTAATATAAAACACTTACCATATATAATTTCACATTTTAATATTATGTGTATATTAAAATTAAAATCAAATTCAAAATCAAAATTATTATACTTAACGGCTACTTACCTAATTTAAAAACTTACCATATATAATACCCTCCTCCTATCTAATCTAATAAAAATTAAAATATTTTTTTAATATTATATGTATATATATTTTTATATTTAAATTATATTTTATTGCTTCTATAAAAATATAATATTTTATTTGAATATAATGCTACAATTACATATATTTATTTATAATCATTAATTTTATTATATTACTAATGATATTTTAAATAGATTAATAATTTAAAATTTATTTTACTGGTGTATTAATTTTGTATTTTTAGTTTAAAGTAGTGTAAAAAGAAATATTACCCAACTAATTTGTCAATTTTAGTTGGGGCACGAAGTTTTAGTTACGATGTAATTAGTAAGTAATTAAGAAATATATTAGTAAAATAATTATGGTATAATAAAAATAATTATAGATTAAAATAACTGAATAGTTAATTAAATTTTTTTTTCATAAGTTATGAATTTTAAAATATGATTAAAGTGTATAATTATATTTCCAAAACAGAAAAGAGATAATTTATATGGGACGGACAGATATAGAAAAAGTGGACAAATTAAGTGGGATGGAGGAAGTAATATTTTATGTTAAACTATTATATTTTTTAGTGTATAAATTATATATTATATATTTTGTACAAAACTATATATATTATATTTTTTTAATATAAATCGAAAACCATATTGAAAATTAAGTGCCGATATCAACCTGGGTCACCCCGCTGTCGCTCACCCCGTACATCGACGCGCCGTCGAGCTCGTTTTTCGCTCGAAACCATGTCCAAATAAACATCCTCGAGCTCGATCTCGATCTCGTCCGTTGACGACAACGGGATCCTGCTCAGCTCCTCGGCGAACTTCTTGGCGATCTCCGTTTCGTGGATTCGGTACTTCGACGCCAACGTTCGTATGCACAACATCCGCACCTGGGTTGATATTGCCCGCTTCACTTCGGCGAAATTGTCGCAGTCGAAGAACCACCTCACCCACCGCCGCACGATCCCGACAAACCAGTCGACGATTTGATCGTCGTCGAGTAGGATTAGTATGTAGTACGTTCGCGCGTAACCTTCCGCGTTCATTAATCCGTATCGGTGGAGACGCTTCGATATGTTGTTCACGGGCGCAAGAATTTCCGTGACGTAACCACGATCGGGGCTTTTGTCGGGTAGAAGAGCGAGCATCGATACAGTCTCCGACGCGACATACTCGTCGATCCGTTTTTCGAATTCACGATACGAATCGGTGAGCTCGTCGGGAAGCGCCGGTTCGACGATTTTCTTCGCTAGAACGAAACTCTTCGCTGAGGCTCGTTTCGGGTTGATTAGAAAGTATTTATAATATGAAGTAATTTAAAACAAATCATTTAAAAAAAAATTGTCTTTTGAGAAAAATATATGAAATAAAAGATAATTCTATTGGCAAATCAATTTTTTTTTTTTTAAGATGCGGGAGTATATATTTTTATGTTATATGTTTTTTATTACTAATTTAAGAAAATTGTGTAGTGAAAAATATTATTTTTTGTATAAAAGATGAGTCAATTATATAAATATATATATATATCACCCTCACAATAAATAATGCCAAATGCAGAGTTAAAAATATGATATAGATGAAAATATAAAAGCCACAATCACCATTCTGATTTTCCCAAGAAATAAAATAAAAATAAAAATAAAAAATAAAAAACCCAAAATTCATAGCCATGCCTTAGTGAATCTAACTACTAGAAAACCATTTATCTAAACCTCTATATATACATATATATGCATGCATATGGCAATGGCAGATAAGAGAGCAAGCAATGCAACGCAATGCTTAAAAACAGAGGGAATCAATGGAACCTGGTGGTGGTGGTGGTGGCGGCGGCGGCGCCGCGGAGTCGGAGGACGAGGTGGAGGGTGGATTCCTTCTGGATATTATAATCGGAGAGCGTCCAGTCGTTGTCGAGCTGCTTCGCGGCGAATATCAGCCTCTGTTGGTCCGGCGAGATGCCTTCCTTGTCCTGAATATTTGCCTTCACGTTCTCGATCGTGTCGGAGCTCTCGACTTCCAGCGTGATCGTCTTCCCCGTCACCATTTTCACGAAGATCTGCATCTGAAATCCATGGAGTTGTAGAGAAGGTGTAAGCAATATGATTTAGAAGAATGTTTCTCAACATCTCCAGATTAATCACTGCTTTCAAATTTTTAATTCTAAACACGAAGAAAACCTTCAAGATGGGGAAATTTAAAAAGGATTTGGAATTATTCAACAACATACTTCACATGAACATCTGAAAATAACTCAAAATTGAATTTAAACAAATTTAAGCGAGCAATGGCAAATCGCACAGAAGTTTAGTACGTAACAATTCGAATGGATTAACTTAACAGTTATTAGGTTAAGTAAACTTCATCATACATCAATCAAACAGATTGTAATTCAATCAGATGAATCCTCGACTGTCATCGAGGATAAACTTCCCCTTTCTAGCGCACGTAATTAACCTCATTCAACTAATTTTTCTTAAGAAAACTCTAATGAACACACATACGAACCAAGATCAGCGACGCAACCGCACCAAAAATCAAATTCCAACTAAATATCACATCGATACGAACTAGAATTCCTCCAAAACAAAAATAACACCACTCATCGCGTACATCACAAACAAAAAACCACATATATATCAAAATAAACATAACAGAAAGCGCCATAATTAACATCGAACAGAATTCAAATAAGAGAAAGAAACCATACCTTTGAATCAAGTATCAGTTTGTAGCAGCAGAGAAAGAAGTAGAGAAAAATCTTCGAGAACAGAATTGTTAGAAATTTTGGGGGAAAATAATGAGATTGTCTTATTGATCATCAAAATAAGGAGCCTATATATAGGCAATACAAAACAGACTCGATAGACTCAAATCTAAGTAATCTAATCTATGAATAAGATCCAATCTAGATATAAATTTACTAAATCTAAAACTAAATATTTAAAATATCTCAACAAGAATTAAAGTACAGCGGCAAAAGCAGAGAGCGAACCTTTTATATAATGGTTCGGACGTATTTTCATTCCGATATATCAGCCGTTGATTTTGTAGATGTAATCCTAACCGTCCGTATATATTTTTAAATTTTTTTTTCTAAACTATATGTCGAATCTTTTGAACTTTTTTCTTTTTCTAAACTATATGTCAAAAGGAAATCCATAATTTATTTATTACTAAAAGTTATCTAAATCTTTGTTTGTTTGGGAGTTTGGATTTTAAGTTGCGATTTAAATAGTAAAAATTTTGAATTTAAATAGTTGTATGATGTAATATAAATAGACATTAATAAGATATTTTGAATGTAAAATTAATTTTTAATATAATATAAAAAAAATTGAATAATAGGTGTTTGATTTGATATTTTTGGAACAAACACATCCCAAAAGAATTTTAGATCCCAATAATAATAGATTCTGGCTCAGTTTTTCTTCATAAAAATTTTAAAATTGTAGTAAAAAGTTAAGTTTTTTTTATACATCTTCTGAGAAAAATATATATCTTTAGGGTTTTTTTTTTTAAAAAAAATCTTGTCGATAAATATAAATAGTGCATAAAATCAAAAGAAAAAATATTTCATATTATATATTTTTATTAATTAAATATTGAATACTACTATATACTATTTGTTGAATATATATTCAAAATATTACTACCTCCGTCCCACATACCGTGTATGTTACCTGTAGACACGGTATTTTAGGAGGAATATAATTAGTAGATAATTAAGAATGTATTAGTGAAAATAATTATACGATAATATAAATAATTATAAATTAAGATTAAGATAACTAATTAGTTTAATTAAAATTTTTAAAAAAATTAAAAAGTTTAAAATGAGATTAAAGTGTGTAATCATTTTTCAAAAAAGGAAAGTGACATGGTATGTAGGACGGACAGAAACGGCAACGTGGACATAATATGTGGGACGAAGGGAGTATTTATTTTGATGAGCTTACACAATAGAGTTTGGCCCAAACCCAATTTTGAGTCCATTGTTATATATGTTTGCATGTATTTCTATTTTTATTTCTATTTTCATTATTTAAAAAATAATTATTATAATAATAAAATTATTACTTCTTGAACTTATTTAGGCTATTATTACTTCCGCCATTTAATTGTATTTCCTTTTCCTTTATAAATTTGCAAGATATTAGTAATATATTTGTTTAATATTGATAATTTTAAGTGTTTTTGTTATGAAATACTTCATCCGTCCAAACAATAAGTATATATTTATTTTTGGTACAGAATTTAAGAAAGTATTTTAATTATAGTGAATAAGTAAAAATAGTATAATGACATTTTTACAATTGTATTTGGTATAAAAGTAATGATGTAATGTAAAGTAATGGTATTTATGAAAAAATAAATAAAGTATTTAATGAAATAATTGGTTTGTAATTGGACGTCCCAAATAAAAATATGTGCTGGACTGAGGGAGTACTAAAATTTGTAAAAATATTATGGAATTAAAATAATGTATTGTACTCGTCCGTATCAATTAAAGTATTCTTTTTACTATTTTCATTTATCTCATTTAAAAATATACATTTTCTATTTTAGTAAAAATAATCATACACGCTAATACTAAAATATCATTATACATACAATTACTTATAAATATCAAAACGTATTACGTACTTTCACTTATTAATAAAATACTTACTATTATTTCTTAATTTACTATAAAATTCCAAAAAAATAGTATTTTGGAATGGAATGGAGAGAGTACATTTTTATTGACTTTTATGTATTTTTTACTTTTTTTTTACTTTTTTTTTTACTTTTATTGTTATACATATATTATTGTTCTATTTTTAAGAAATCATATAAAAATAAAACACTACCTTTTTCTTTTTCTTGTGTGTATTTTAAAAGAGTTTTAGGGGCGGTTTGGTACAGAGAATGAAATTGCAGATAAATGAGAGTAGATAATAGAATTGGAGAAAAAAAGGAATTGAGGAGAAACTGAGAATTAATTCTCTTGTTTGGTACAATAGAGAATTCAGTTGAGAAATATAAAAAAAAAATGAATTGATCGGACAAGAATAAATGATTAATCTAACAAAAGAGAATTTTAGCAAGTAAGAATCATGAAAAAATATTTATGGTGACTTTTTTTAAAACAAAAAATTATAAATTATATACGAAGTTTTGTAAGATCATATTTTAGTATAAATTTTTGTAAAAAATTAAATACTTGAATGATAAATTAAAAATAATTTTTGTAAAACTGAAAAATAATATAATATAAATAATTATAAAAATTAAATATTACAAAAAAAGAATAAAAAAATAAAAATATATATACTAGAACGTCATTTCTCTGAATATATGAGAGAAATGAAAATAGAGAAATAGAAATGATTTATTTCTCAACTTCTATTTCTCTGACTCAAACAAACAGTCTTGTACCAAACACACCCTTACTATTAACTTAATTTCTTCAAAATTTTCAAACTTTTCATTTAAACAAGCATTAATGATTTTCCAAAATGAAACGCTACATTTAAATATATATATATATATATATATATATTGGGGAGTATTGGAAATGTGAACCGTTTTTTAAAAAAATAGTAAAAAATTGTATTGATATTTTATATTCTTTATTTCATCTTAATTTACTTTTACTTATTTGCTCTGGATAAATCTCATATCGAACTTAATAGTCTGTAAAATAAATCTGATAAAACAAATCACATTAGACAACCTCCGATCGGAATTAATATTGTGCAAACTAATCATCCCTTACGAGACTATATTGTGTTATAGTTTTAATCACCTAAAAATTATTCAATAAACAATCCAAATAATTATAAAATAATATTTCATCCGTCCCACATACCGTGTCTGCTACACCGTAGACACGGTATTTTATTTTATGAGGGGTGTAATTAGTAGATAATTAAGAATGTATTAGTAAAAATAATTATCCTATAATATAAATAATTATAAATTAAAATTAAGATAATTAATTAGTTTAATTAAAATTAAAAAATTTAAAATGAGATTAAAGTGTGGAATCATTTTGAAAAAAAAGAAAGTGACATGAAATGTGGGACAGACAGAAACGGAAACATAGACATAGTATGTGCAGGGCCGTCTCGAACTTTTTTTGGGGTCCTGAGCGAAAAATTAATTATAAGCCCCTATAAACACATGATTAAAGTGTATTTTCAAAATAATATCACTGATTGGTGTCGATTGGATAAGACGTTGAATTTGACGGTCTGGGTAGTATTTGAGGAAAAAGAAAGACGGACTATCCGAATGTTCGAAAAGCAAAGACGGTCTGGGTAGTATTTGATTAAAATTAAATTGAATAATTATAAAAGAAAAAAAATATAAACTAAAATTTAAAATTTAATTCTCAAATTTAAAATGTAAAATTTAATAATAATAATAGATAATACAATTTTAAAATATGAATCAGCTATTAATTAGGGCCTTGAACATTTACCCACTCTGCTCCTGCTCAGAGCAGCCCCTGGTACGTGGAACGGAGAGAGTATTTTTTTTATAATGGATAATAAAATTACTTAGTAAATAAATTAAAATTTAACTCTTAAAAAAATAAAAATAGCACTATAAACTCATGATCAGTTAGTGGCATAATAATTTCATTTATAAAAATTAAAGTAAAACGATAAATAAGAAGTAACGAAGAAAAGGACAAAATAGCATGCAAGTGGACACTCATAATTAATTAATTAATTAAAATTAATACGATGATAATGACATTAACGGCAAATGGAAAATAAAATTTATTCAAATTATTAATTACATTATGAACTAATATTTGATAAAAATATCTTAAAAGCATAATTAATATCACGTCATATCAACATTTGGGTTTGCTATTTTTTTTTTTAAATTAAACTTATGTTTCATTAAAATTTTGAATATAATATTTTAAAGTTTTTTTCATTTTATAAAAGAAATGAAAAATATTATACGTATATATTTTATTTTTAATCCTGGGGAAGCATAAAATAAAATAATAATCCCTCCGGCTCAATTCAGTACTTTTGAGTTATACAGTAGATTGAAATACCTTTTCAACTTACAGTA